TGTTACATGGGTGTTATAGTACTCTATTAAGAGTAAAAAGTTTTTTTTAATGATAATGAACAATTTTTTATGAAACTTTTATATGGAAGGGTGGGTGTTGCATGTTACACCTCTGCTATTATTCGGGCCACAGTATTCAGTTGTCAAATGCAACTCCACATCGAATGAAAGTAATATTTAAATACATTCAAGACCTTTTTGTAACTTTAGATTTTAACCATTGTCACTACGATACTCCCACTCATGGCGCCAACCTCAATTCGTGAGGACAGCTGAAGCTATTGGTCCTAGTCTCTATGGTAATAGATTTACGCATCCGATCAGGTGCCGCAAGTAAAACTTATTAACATTTATACTCCAATCAGTGTTGTGTGAAGCCTACTGAATTTTAGTTACCTCAATCGACAGGTATGCCTTAACATCGAAATCTTCCTACACCTTTCAAATGCGCTTAGTATAGTACAGCATAATGTAGCAATGTTTGGTATAATTCAAGACGATGTTAAAGCCTTCTAAGTGCAACAGAAGCTTTATTTCCTTCTTATTTATCCTGTTATAAACATATCTCTATAGGTTGCATGGGTTTCACACTTTCTGTTAAATATCGTAGCGGATCACTAATATTCCCAACAGAAAATACGAAAATTGAAGTGTAAAAGGTATGTTGAGAATATATTCGTTGCATTAAATGCATTAATATCGGTTGAATATATTTTATGCAATCAACATAGCCTTAGTTTCTTTGCTAGTCATTCGCACGCGGTTTCATTTCTTCACACTTTCTATTAAATATTGTGGCAGCTTAATGATATTCAGAATATTGTCAGTCCTAAATTCCATCACAACTCCGCCTTATACGTATATTTAACCATAATGTACCACCTACGGTTATTTAGATGGCATAATGTTCTATTATTATTATCATGAGTGGATATCGGTAACATCAGAAAATTCAGGTCGATTGTATCTCTTCCTATAAGTAGGACAATTATCTCTTTACATGAAGTAAACTCGCTCCTTTTCTTGCAAGTACGTTTTCTGTCATTACTTTTTTTTATTATTGGCTGAAGTCTTGATGAAAGTTGACTTATTTACATGTAATACTAGTGATAATGCGTTTTAAGACATCACACAAAAATTTTTACAATTAACATTACCTAAAAAGACCAATTAATAGAAATTCTGTGCTATTTTTGTGATGTCGATTATTATGCCTTCTCCAGTTTTGTAGCTTTGAAGTTACACATAACTTGATTGTGTTCCATTTGCTATTAGCAAGCAGAAGAAAGTAGAGGTAAGTATTTATTTTTTCAACGATTTCTATAGAACATTAACCGGAATTCATAAAGGATACATCTAAGGAAGCACCAAGGTGCCCGAAACCGTCAGTTTTTTTATTCTCTTCAGAATGGTGTGAACTAGCCGGGGTCGCTTGCCAATTGCCTTATATTCTTTAACTAATTTTGATTTTATATCGAAGGATTGAAGAGCTTCAATTGCGCCACAACCCTAGACTACAAAACAACACAACTAGTTATAGTTCTTTTGTAATACTTACAAGGTATCAGCAAGCTTACTTGCAATTAAACCCCCCACTACAGAGGTCATGTTCAAGATTGTGTTTTTTTTTTGAATATCTGGTTTTGATTGATATACTGTAATCTGTTTGTAGCGCGACAGTTCAATAAACATAACAAAATAGTTCATCAGCAACAACAATGGGTTTTGTTTAATAATCAGTAGCATTATGCAAAGTTCTGGTTTTTGAACTTTAAATTTTGCTTATTAATGGAACTAATAAATTAGATTGCGTTTCGAATGGAGACAGACAAGATTGAAATTTTCGAATGAAATTTGATATATTCAAAATATATAAAAAACATAAATGAACTTTTGCATTTATACACATTTAATTTCATTCATCAAAGATACAGATTTTGAGTGCATTTATTAAATGTCAAAGTAGTTAAAACTGAAAGCAGTTGAACTTGATATTTCATGTTCTTGGACATGAAATAAGTCAGTGATATTTAATGAAGGTGCTAACAGGTTATTTCTCAAAATTGAAATCGGTGATTAATAAAACTTTTATTACGAATAAGATAATGAATATATGTCAGATATTATATCACTTTTTATTTAGCAAAAAAAAAATAAATGAAAAAAAATTTTTTATGGGCATAACTGATATATAAATTTATTTATGTCGTTTTTTTTTAATATTTAAATTTATTTCAAGTGTAGAAAAAATTAATGTGGACATGATAGCCTTTAGCTAAAGCGAAGAAAGTACAACTTCAACTGCACAGCAACCAACGTTAGTTTAATTATAATTTGAAGCGTTCAAAAAATATTTAATTTTTGTTGTTTGTGTGATGTGTGGAGTGTGTTTTGCAATAGAAAACACACAAAACTCGACCACCGGCAGCTGGGGGATCAACACCCATTAATTAAAACATCGCAGGTATCATGTCAAAAACTCAACTTTTATATTTTTTTTTGCTTGCACTGAACATACTTAATTTACCACACGCCGTAATAACAACTACACCACGAATAATAATATTTTAAAGTAACTTCTTTTATGAAACAAGCATTGATCAACGTTCGAACAATGGCAATAATTGATCGAATTGAATATTTGATTAATTGGTTCGATGAGGTGTACGCGGGCGTATACGTAATTACTAATTTTATTGCCTCTTCACAGGCGAAGCATAAAGGAAATTTGCATAAACCGTGCCGAAAGCATGTGTTGTAATTATGTAAGCCGCTAATAAAATAAAATTAAATTAAATAAATAAAAACATTAAATAAATAAATATAAAACAACAAAAAAAACACAAATAAAATATATGTAGATATAAATAAAATAATTACTCATGCATAATACATACAATATTAAAAAAACATTAACTACTGATTTTTTCACTGTTTCAAGCTAAACAAAACCATTCACAACATTATTTAAATTTTATTTGCATATAAATATCACTATTTTTTTATTTTATCTTAACAAATTAATTTAACTAAAATATGTAAAACATTAATGAAAAATAGGCCAAAAACGCATATGCCGGCATCATTTGAAATGCTACTAACTTTTTTTCCTCTCATACAAATTCACTTGCGTTTTTGTTGTGCCTGCAGACTGCCAGCGAATAGTGAACATTGAACACTGAACACACCAATAATTACAACAACAAAATTGCTGGAATATTTTTATTTTTGCTTTTGCCACTTCATTGTTGCTATTTTAAGCATATATGTACGGTTGTTAGTATATTATCAAAAAGGAAAGGGGTTAACCTTGTAAATTCACACAAAATTAACTCCTCGTCCACGGCTGCTGCTGCTTTACTGCGGCTGCTGCGACTGCTGCGACTGGTGCTGCTGCTGATTTCTGTTGTTTGTTGGCGGCGTGCTCATTTAATGCATTTTCTTTCTTGTTATTTATTATTGTTGTTGTTGCTATGGTTGTTGTTATATTAGTATTATAACGCACAAGTGTAGATTGATGGTTGAATGAATGGACAGACATTTTATTATCAGTGAAGGTAACTTAAATAGTTAGTCGGTGCGTAAAGCCTACGTCCGAAGCATAAAATATTATGGACGCTAAAATTATACGAAAATGTTTCAATTAGCAATTTCGTGACGTATACTTAAAATACACTTGAAAAAATTATATGAGAGAGCAGTTGAAGATAAGTAAATGCTCATATTAAATTGTTTAAACACGCATATGTGAAATTTTTGATTTATGTTATTTGTCCAATATAATAATTGTTTAATTTTATTTGAATTTAAAAATTACTTTCAAATTTTTAAAATAGTAATAAATATTTTTAGTCAAATTTTTTCAATTGAAAAAGGAATCAAATTTTTAATGTAACATAAAATTATATACAACCTTATAATATATGCAAAATTCTATAAAACTTTTAATGTAGCACAACAATATATATAATAATATAAGTAAAATTTAAATGTCGGATATAGTAAACAATAATAGTTCGTTCATAATACATAATTAATATCATTATATTTGTTTATTATTAATATTATTAATTATGGTTACTTGTTACTTCCTTAATTGGCCATTACAACCCTTTATCGGTCTGAATCCCTTATAAGTTATAATTACGTCTCAAGTACCTATGTTATTTAGTAGAATGAAATCGTGATAGGTTACCCAGCTCTGTACATTTTGTATTTGAAAATATTTTAAATACTTTTTAATTTGGAGTGTCATACCCCATTCTAACGACATGTCGCAGGTAGCATATCCGCTATATCAATTTTAATTCTTATCAAAAGTTTTATAAAGAATTTTCCACTCAAGAAGAATTTCCTCATCGTTAATTTTTATACACCATAAAACATATTAAGTAGTGGTATTCGATATTAAAACCAAATAAATTCAGATTTAGAAAAATTATTGAAACCCTATGCC